GGGAAGACGGAAGTACGTCATTATTATATATCCCAATATCATGCAAATACTAGATCCGCATACAGTCTCGTGTTTATTTTTTCGTGTTTTTTCAATAAAATAAAATATCATGGGAGTGTGAAAATGGCTAAAACCAGGTTACCAGAAATAACTTGGCCTTCGACATTTATACACTCCCATATTTTATTTTATTAAAACACAAACAAAAAATAAACAAGAGACCGTATGCAAGTCTGTCATAAGACTAACCCCGATCAAATCAATCATCAATTAGCCAATCAAGGAACACGACACATGGTATTCCGACTTGTATTACCCGAACAGAGTCTACCAACAGCACCGGCAATAAATACTACACTTATCAGCATATACGGACACACGTAAACACAATAAATCAACATATTTAAATTTGTTTATTCTCGGTAATGGTACTTAATTTTATGTATAATATATGCATTACATGTTATTGTTTTTAGAATTGCACCCTGTGAAATATTCCGACTGCATAGAACTACTATGCGATACCTTCCAAAGAGAGATCCAGAGAATGGTGACGAAGGGTATCGAAGAACGCGATCAACTGAACGACAGCCTGTATGAAGAGGTTATTCAGCACGCTGTGTTCTGTCAACAGAAATGTGCCGTCTTCCATGGTAGACAGGATACACTACACGTAAGTTTGTAAGTTTGGCATTTCAACCATGGAGACTAGTCATTGCGAGTTTTCTGTAGTGATCGAAAGGAGTTGGTACCATTGGTGGATGCTACATCCGCTGGCTTAACAAAACCTTGGTTAGTTGAAATGTAGAATACTTTAAAATAACGTTATAATAATGCAAGATGGGACATTGACTCAAATAAGTCCAGCATAGGCAGTGTGCCACGTTTCGAAGTTTGCATCTCCACTTAAGTCCATTCACATAATTGCTGTGCCAGTATCCGGACACTAAATTATTATTTGTGTTTTTGTTGGCCACTAACGGTCATCTAATCTGTAACTTTACATTGCGAGAAAAGATGATTTAAGAACTGGACTGTCTATGCCCTAATTCCCGTACAAACGATCCAGTTTTTGGAAGAAATAACGCCAAAACTAACGAATCATACTTTTCACGTGGACTGGGAGTGCAGATGTCAACATTAAACTCCCGTGAACAACGGCAATGCAGACAATAACTTTAACGTTCCACTCTCTCGTATCCCACTCCACCACCGCCGCTTATGACATTTACATAGGTAATTGTTAATGCATAGAACATCATTAGCATCGTGTCTAGACGTTTGTCAAATATCCTACAGTGAGTGGAACACTGCATACAATCTATGCTGCAATATCTAACTAATCATCAATACCCTTTGTTCGACAGAGAATTGAGAATTATGTTCGTGGAGAAATCAGACAACCTTTGGTTGTATATGGACCCTCAGGCTGCGGTAAAACGTCCATAGTAGCCATGGCAGCTACGAAGACACGTCAATGGTTGGGCGGCAAATGTAACGTCGTATTGAGGTAAATTACACACGGCAAGTTGGCAACCAAGTGGAATCAAGTGCGAATCTAAATTAAATGACACTGAACTAAAACTCATTAACAAACTTAATTTGCAA